GTCTTTAGGAATCATTGGCAGAGAGGCTGTCGCTTGATCACATAGTTTACTCTGACATAGTCCACACTGTGCGCATTGTGCTGACTTGTAACACTGACTGCATTTATTGCATGACGAACACGATGGTTGGTCGTCCAGATAGCCGTATTTTTTCTTGTTTTTCGACAACTGGACCAATGTGGACATAAGCTCAGGAATCTTAGGGGGTGGTGGTGGGTTGATTTTTGCCTCGTCATTGAACTGCTGTTGATCTTGTTGTTGTTGTTGTGGGTATGCGTATTGATTTCCTAAATAAAAAAATATTTGTTCAACGTTAATGTTGTTTTTGTTTCAAACATTTTAAGTTCTACGTTTGGTGCATTGGCTTCTGAATCTTGTGAGGAATTCTTAGCACATGGCATAAAATTGAAGTCTATTGCCGTTATCAGGGTAATCAAGGCAATTGTTAAGGCCTTACCTTGGTAACCCCCAGGGTACATGTACTGTTGTTGAGTCTGGGGCSCTAAAAGTATCCAAAACAAATTAAATATGCCTTAATAAGTAAAATGCTGTTAGAAGATCCGCAAAAATAAATCAACTTCAGCAAATACAAATGAAAAAGCAAACTTGACAAAATTACAAACACAAAGCAAGTTTGCGATGTACRCACGCCAGTGTCCGTGCGGTATTTTCCTATTTCTATCGTTAATAAGTCTATTGTTCCCTGATCCACTCTCAAAAATGGTATTTCTGCCAAGTTCAATAAATATACTAGCGCTAAAATGATCCAATTTAGAGTCTAGACAAGCTAATTTTTATTCAAAATACCTATAACGTTTAGTTAAACTAACTGTTTTACCTGGATAATAGTTAGGATAGGCATACCCAGGAGCTGAAGATGATAAACACGGAAATACTTTAGAATTACAAAAGCCGAGAACATGAGCTTAGGACGAAAACTGTTGTAATCGCAAATATACCGTAATATCCTGGCATGAAATTCGAGTATGGAGGTATTGTTACTGATTTGGAATCATCATTCTCTTTACTTTCTTCTTCATCCTTCTTTTTTCCATTTCGATCGTCATCGATTCTATTATTGAAGTTAAATTGCGGGTTCGGATAGGCCGGGTATGGTGGTAACATCCCTAGCAGACATTGGATTAACAGATATATAAAGATATATAAACTTTTTGATAATGTTGTTAGCTAAAAGTTTTGTAAAATATGTACAATTTTCAAAAAGCGTTTCATACCTGGGTAGTAATTTGGAAAAGGATTAAATTGCATATTTGGTGCTGAAGATAATAAGATTACAAGAAAAAAATCAAAACAAGTCAACTTTAGCAAAACAAAAATAAACGAAATTTCGATTTTTATCAAACTACCGTAAAAGTTCGGAAAGACTGGAGGCCTAAACCCGTCAGGTTTGCGACCGACTTTRTCTTTTGGCTGAGATTCATCTAACGCAGGAAAAGGCCGAGGAAAACCTGTTTTGTGCAAGAAATTCACAGGTCAAGGAAACTAAATTATTTGAAGATCTCAAAAACATACAAATCTAGTGCTCTTTCCACCTGTATTATATTGTTGGTTATAGAACATCGGGTTCCACCAATTTACTGGATATCCTAAAACGACTGCAGATACGACGAAAAAAAACATTAGAAAAAAAACATTAGATTGTGGTAATCTTAAGAATTCATTGTTGAAAACGAAATAGTTCTTGGGTCTGAAGGAGGTGTTCTTACCTCGCAGCGTTAGGAGTTGTCCAAGAAGAACAATCATCATGAGGAAGGATTCGTTCTTCATGATGGTTGCTTTCTTTAGTAAATAAAGAATAAAAAATCCCTGTGAATTAGATTTTTTCCAGAGCTTAGCCTACTTTTTGGTGACTATTGGTACAAAACCTTGCTTAACCTGCTGTTTTGGATCACATCACCTCTGCTTTGCGCCTATTGGCTGAGATGATCTCCTTCATTTGTACCACACGACATCGCCCACCAACTAAACATCCAAACACGTCCAAAACTCATTTTCCTCATTTTTTATTCAAAAATAGAATTATTTCTTGGAAATCAAAGTTTCATTATAGCAATATAGCAGCATTATGTTTGTACTTCTTCAGCAACTGGTTATTATCTTTTCCAATGAGATTATGATGGCTGGTTTAGTTGTATCCTATATTTGATAAACTTTACTGAATTAGCTCACAAATAATTCAAGTACGTTTTCAAACATTATTTGATATCGTTGTTTGAGTTTGGTTCTATTTGAGACTTATTTAAGAAATCGCATGTTGTCATTTTACTGACTTTCTGATTGGAAACCGACAGTAGGTCTTGTTTGGATATTAAATTCTTATCATTGATTATTATTCTAAATGTTTTTATTGTTGCCAAGTGATCTTTTGTTCTCTATTCACAATTCTCTCGTTGATAAGTACATACAACCTGCTAAAAACTTTGTAAATCATCAATATTTGATGATCGTTCCTGAAGTTCCTGTATGGGCTTCCTGTGTTAGTCGAATACAAGGGAGAATGAGGAGAGAAAACCTCTCATACCCAGACTGCCCTCAATTAACAGTGGAAACTCCAGGAGAGCCTGGACRCACTTTAAATCCCGTCATTTAAGGTTTGTTTAGCTACTAGCAGTTGGCAAGTTTTACCCTTTTCTAGGATAAAGTCGATTATTTTTCAGTTTCTGACACCGATACTGTGACGAATTCAAACACTTTTTTTACGTTTATCTGTCAAGACATTTAACTGATATATCCATAAATATGTCTATCTGCGAATTAAATTAAACTATCCTCGACTATCCTAGGTTATGAAGGCTACCTTATACCGCATGTTGAACGCATAAATAAACAACTTTAAAGCCACACAAAATAAAAAAGCAGACAAACATACAACAACTAGCAACTGGGACATATAACACAGCAATTCTCTTCCCTACTCTCCTCTACGGTAGATAAAACTCTGGGCTACGGTGAGGCTAGAGGGACCGAGAACMACATTTGARCTGAGTGTTGTAATTAGCAAGAATAAAAACTAGATGAAACCAGCTGTACTTACGTTCCTTGTCAACACAGTCATATGYAACATCCAAGTACTTCTTGTCACTTTGACATTGTTCACCAAATAGCCCATCATTAGCTGACAACATACAATTGTCCATGTCATCACAACTCGTCTTTACTAYCTTATACGCATTAGGTGATTCGCAAGGTTGTATGGGAAGGAAGTTTGCGTTCTCTGGTCCTTGACATGAAGACTGYCCCATGCTTCCATAATGAGCATCAGTGATATTGATTTTCTTTCCTTGAGGACACATTATYGTGTCCTGGTTGTTTTGACARACAATTGTTCTGAATCTGTTTTCATCTAGTGTGTCTTGTTTTCGTAGTTCAACTCCGCTAACAGGTTCTTAAAAAATGAAATAAAAGATGTTTTTAGAGGAGCGTCTATCATTACGTTTGTGCAACATATCAGCAAATCGTTGCTTATAGTACTGTGAAAAAAACAATGGATTAGCTGTGTGATTAAACTCCATACTCATTCATACAAAGTACAAATAAAGTTTGCGTTTATAATTTGGCGTCCTAGTGTACATTTGGTGTGTKAATAGTCTATAATTACCTTGATAAGCCTGATTGGCTTGGTTGGTATATGCCTGTGCTTCATTACTAGTRTAYTGTATAGGTTGTTGTGCAGCATTCTGTGTTRCACCATTGCTGTTCGCCATAAAAGAAGACGTTAAGTCATTCGAAGTTGTTTGTTGAGGTGCAACAGTCTGTTCAGTTGGACTATTATAATACTGTTGAGATTGTGGTGGCGTAGCTAACGTAGCAGCATCAACTGACTGAGGGATGCCTTCTGCATTGTTCATAACCTCTGAAGGATTTGTAGTCACACTAGGTACATAGTTAGCTGTCTGGGCTCCTGGATGGGTATCTTCGATAGCGGCATCAACTGCCTGTGGTGCTTGCAAGGCATCGTTCTGTGTCTCAGATGCGTAAGCTTGGATACTTTGCGGGGTTGGTGGTGCGCTTTGGGAGGCTTCATCGTTGTAGTACTGTGCAGTTTCAGAGGTAGCCTGTTGCGAAGCGTCAYTGTATGCCTGYTTAGCCGGCTGCGTGGCTGCGTCGTTATAATATTGATTGGTTTGTGCAGTTTGAGATGACGCACCGTTATAGTACTGTTCATTTGAAGAGGTCTGTGTTGCATAGGCTGGTGTGCCTGTGTTTGCTGGTGTGCCTGTGTTTTGTTGTGTTTGATCTACTGTGGCTGGGGAATAAGACTGTGTCTGAGCTGCATCGCTAAACACYTGKGRGTTTTGTTGGACACCAGCCGTTGCTTGTCCTCCAGTGACAATGGTAGGCTCAGGACTCGACASACTTGATTGAATGGTGGATGGAGACTTTTCAAAATTCTCAATCGAGTTCTGTGTTTTGTATTGCTTCTCTTTATTCTTTAGATTTTCCAATTCGATAACTTCACCAGAACCATCGTTGGCTTCTTTAAATTCAGGAAGTGCATTTTCTCCAGAACCTTCATTCTCCCCTTTGCCAAGGTCCTGCGCCTGCACCARCCTATCTACTTGCTCATTATCTGCAAAAACGCTGGATTGTGCAGTAGCTTTGGGTCTCTGTCTAACTAAYGAATCTCCAGACCCTCTATCGTCATTAAAATCATCATCAGTGTCTTTAAGGTCTTCAGGTAAACCATTATCCCCTGATGATTGACCCTCTAATCTTGAGCTCTCTGAAATACAAATGACAATCAATCAGTGTACGTCATGATTAATTAGAATACATCAAAAATTAGAATGTGGAGAAAAAGCTTTGAAAATCTAAAAGACTATGATAGTGTGAGTCGTGCATTCTCTAGTTACTGAACAARATAGATAATTATGGGAATTAAGTTATGCGATATATCTAAATTTGCGCCATGCCTAAACCTCAAGASTTKTAGGATTGTGTTTGTTACTTTTCCTTCATCAAAGATTTTTGTCATTATGCAGATATATTTTTAGCATGCGGGTCATGAATAATCCTCTAGGGATCCTCTGTCCGTCTTCTGTCTGTGTATTGTTGTCGACTAGTATTCGACTATCGTCCATCAAACTATTCGACTATTTGTCTTTGTATGTTTTCGTTGTTTTTTCTCTTTGCTTTCGATAATTCAGTTGTTTTGTGAGTATAGTTTAACCTTCCTATCTGTCTTGTTGTCAAGATGTTTCTAACCGTCTGTTCTCTGAAATCTGTTGTTGTCGATTTGTCTTGGMATTCGACTAGCGGTCCGTCGGTCTATTCGTCTGTTTGTTTGCTTGTAGTCGATTCGTCATGGTACTAATCTTGGTCCATTCGTCTGTTCGTCTTTGTTTGTAGTCGWTTCGCCTTGGTATTAGTCTTGTTCTGTGTTCGTCTCAGTCTGTTTGTAGTCGATCGATGGTTTTTTCGTCTTGGTAGTAGCGTCTAATTGTATATCCGTCCATAGGTGTGTCTTCGTTTTTTCCCGGTCGTCTGMTTGGTGTTCACTGACGACAAGGCGTCTGTCGGTTTTGTGTCTGTCAGTCTCAGTATTCGCTCRAATGAAATTCTTTTCGATACTTTTCYCTTTCTTGCTCCATTCGTTCATTGTCATACTTCCCGCTTTGATATAGCAGAATGTACCTACCGTTCTTTAGCAGATCAGCCAAGTAAATGGCCGCCTGGAACACATTGAATGCGTGCTTCTTCGTTTGATTTTGTGAAGATTTCAGTGGTGCGTTATTTGACATGGGAGGACCCACCGTTGCCTTAGCTTCTCCAGCATAAAATCGATTTTCTTGATTATTTGGTTGTAAGAAAGGATTCGACMTGGACGACGCGACGGCATTGAAGTTCATGTTCTTGTAATAAGGGTAGTTCTGGTATATCTGTTGCCTTTTGTTCAAAAGMGCATTTTCAAATACTTTAAAAGGTGCGTGTCCTTGTGAATKTGGCACCGGGCGCGGAATATCTGATCTCTGATACAGTGCGGTAGCTGTGTTAGACCAGGAAGAACCTGGACGAAGATACGATCCTTGCTTTGGAACAATAGTTCKTTGATATTGAACTTGATCTGTGTTTGACCAGGAAGCACCTGGACTTAGGTTAGATGCTTGCGACGGAACACTATTTCTTTGATATTGGACTTTACCTATATTGGACCAGGAATTACCAGATGCTTGCTTTGGAACACTAGCTCTCTGATACTGAACTTGATCTGAATTAGACCAGGAAGTGCYTGGACGGAGATAAGGCGCCTGTTTGGGAACACTTGTTCTTTGATATTGCACTTTACCTCTATTGGACCAGGAAGCACCTGGACTGAGGTTAGATGCCTGCTGTGGAACACYATTTCTTTGGTAAGMTCTTGTATTTGTATTAGACAATGAATAAGGTGCTTGCTTAGGAACGTTATTTCTCTGATAAGGCGCTATGTTTTCTCTATACCAGGACGTTAAAGGTCGAGTATAAGGAAATTGCGGAGAATACGGGCGTTGACGATCAGGGATTCGATAGGCAGTTTTATAAGGCCAACCTGTTTTGATATGCTGATACCATCGGTAATACTGAGAGAAAGTCTGTGGATTGGCCATTTTTGCACGATCTGAATAAAATACATTCTGGAAGGCTAACGGATTTTGCAAGGAATTCGACTGATGATACGCYAAATAAGGAGWTCTGTACCCAGTTCCAGGAGTAACTACACGACCTGATGCTTGCAAAACATTTGCAAACGATTGCCTTGATGGTGAATATCTGCTGTTTATAGCGTAGGTAGATAATTTTGAATCCACTGAATGAGATGARCTGGGATCGTTCTTTGCGTTTTGAGATGCAATATTATTGGTGCTTCCAGATTTATCTGGCGAATTTTTGCTGTATTTTTCCGATATATCCAGAAAGTTTAACAGCTTCTTTGTGGTCGCCGTAGTTGTATTAACAGATGTGATATTTCGATTAAGAGGTTTGTYATCTTCGACTGGTCTAGTGGCATTCTTTTTGTCCGAGAATAAATCCTCATCGGTGTCCTCATCAGGGTTTCCTGAAAATCCAGATTCTTCTTCTGAAGTATTGTCATTTATATTGCTTGTTGAATTCATTTGTGAATTTTTATCGTGACTAGTTTCATTCCTTTCCTCCTTTAAGAYAATATTGTCATCATTGGGTAAGTCTGGTTTCTCTAACGAGAGGTCTGTATTGTCGACTGGATCATACGAGGGATTTTCAACCGGATTTTTCGAAATACCCGGAACTTTGCTTTTGGTCAAAGCTTTGTTTTCGGAGTTATCTCGATCGTCATCAGAACGGCCTGAGCCGGCCTTACTGGTTGACATTAAATCGTCGTCAACTGAAGGTGTTCCCGAAGCGCTTGAATCAGCATCTTCATCGCGGCTGTCGCCAGATGACAATTCAACAGCTTTGTCTCCTGTAACTTCATCATTTTGACCATGGGCGTTGGTGTCTACGTYTTTCTTACCATTATTGCTTTGAAGGCCACGGGTWKTAGTSTTGTAGTGGGTGAGTTTACTGCCATCTTAACCAATRCAATACAATCAAAACAAGTACATAAATATACGTTAAATCAACAGCATGCAAAAGCAGGAATAACCTTAGTTAAAATAATTATAAGGATGAGATCAATAATGAAAAATGAAATAGATAGCAAATGTWTTTTTCGACAAGACAATATTATCAAATGGTTTCYCGTTGTTCATGGCTTGATATCCTAATGGCAGATCCAATCGGTTGGTGCGARGAGTGCGAATCTCGGCCTGGGGCTTCTACTTTTTTAAATGATATTTTGCGCCTTCTCTTTTGTTACAGTTCTTGTGGAGAGCACCCYCTCCTAGGRTGACAAGCACCCCTTCATGAAGACAATCCTGGACCCACCCCAATTAACCATAAACCCGCACAAATAAATGATATCTAATGGAACTTGCACATTTATAAAGTTATGACACCAAAAAAAAATTCTAAAGATCCTTACTATARAAGASGCACAGATTCAAATGCATTAAAATRTTACYTTCGGGCCAAATGGAAAATGACATTTTTAAAATTTGTTAAAAGCGTGAAAATATCGGAAGATATAATGAGTTAGAAAAGTATCAGATTTCACAGTTTACGATACCAGACAACAAAATATACCATAACGATGATTTTAACTTTTTTGACAAGAAAACTGTAAATAAAAAAAAGTGTTTTTAAACTTCTGATATTGAGGCAAGCATTGCTATAATTGTCAAGGAACAGTTTTAATATTAGGAAAATTAAACRGTGTGTTTTCCTGCCAGTGTTCTTATGAGTTAAGAAAGTTACAAAAAAACATTTGCGAAAAAAGTACAAATTAGCAAACGCTTTGCCCTGCAGGTTGCATGTTTACTGACTCAAGTCACTGAACCCTTCAAATGATAACGATAAATAAAGAAATACAAGGTGAAAAAGAAAAAGGTCTATTGCAAAACTGAACCGGTTTGAAAATGAATTAAACTATCTAAGGAYATACTTACCTTGATTTAGCGACTTAGATTCTGTAGTTTCAATTCCAAGAAGAAACACTAAGCTCAAAACGCCAAGAAACAAGAAGACTTTCCTAATGTTTATCATTTTATGTTTTTAATTGACCGGCAAGAACTTGATCTATGACCTGCCTTCAACCTGCAAATACAATTCCAAAATCATTTTTCCAGTATTTTTTGTAGAAAAATCCAGAAGCAATTGCCAGTAGTCAGCGCCATTATCAAGGAAAATTCCTTGTTGTTGTGTGTTTTCAAGCGATTCATTCAAACACAGCGTCCATTGGTGCGCTACGTTGTTGTAACTGTCTTATTTTTCACTGATCATTCAAGCAAAACAACATGGTTGTCGAACACACAAGAATGATTCTCATCTTTTTTCGTAGTCACAAAACACTCAAACTTTCTAACAAAAGAGAGATTTTTAGTGCTTACCCTTTAAWTATGTCAGAAATTTTGTCTTTTTCTGATAATTGCCACTCTCGCTGTCACATAGTTTGAAGTTGCAGGTACCTTGGAAGGTTGAGCGCGCGGGAGAAACTAACTTTGGGRGAACGGCCGCTACACGTGAATGCTTAATGAGTGACATAATGCTATGAGTTAATCACGGGAATCATCGATTGTGATTGGCTGAAAACTGTGAAAATATCGAAGCCTCTCGCCACTGTAGCCCTGGACTTCTTAGTGAAAACGTGGATTTAATGGCGATGGGGATTTTCAAGGAAAATATCGTTTATTTACCATTTGCACAATCTGCGCAAAGCTACTGAAGAATACCAGAAGTGTCATATACCAGTGTCAAGCGAATAATTTGGCTTGGTCTCCGAGACAAAACAACAATGACAATGTAACTACCGTTCCGTGAAAAGTCAACAAGGAAAAAAAGCTTCGAGGCTCGAGATAAGCCAGTTTGACTTTTATAAAATATACTAGTTCCGTTTTCGTGCAGTAGTTAGAGCTGCTATGCATGTGAACGGAATTTAGAATTGTGGGCCATGTCCGACCGCTGTCTCGTCTCGTGCSAGTGTAGCCTGATGGTTTTTGTGAATTGAACCATAGATAAAATCAAATGACCACAGAACGAAAACGCCATTATTTTTTACTTGATATATATTTTTGTACTATTTCACATGTTTACGAAAAGAAATCTCTTTTCCGGCCCAGAAAGTCCGACCTTTTGCTCAAGATATCTTAKAGGTAGGTGGCAAAACTGTTCGCAGTACCAACTTAAAAGGTAGGCGTGGTTTTTCATCGGAGCGAGATGACCCGTGAGATTACAATGATAGATACCTGTAAACAATGTCTTGAGTGTTAAGAAAGGCATCTGTCATTGCAAGTCCAACCTTCTCTTCAGTCTTTGCAAAGAACGTTTACCACTCAAGACAAGGCAGGTAAACGGAAACCTTGTTGATAGTTGTTAGCCGGTGCAAGGGTTTAACCTGGTTTAGGGGCCGGCTCTTCCTTCCCTCTACCTTTTATATCTTGGGAGAGAGAGCAAAAAGTGGGTCAGGTTGCAGCGCCAAAGAACATTGCTGGTAATTGGTTGGCTCAGCACAGAGTGACTCTAAAGAACGAGGCATAAACAATAGAGCCTATTGTTCTAGCCAGCCAATCACAATGACTTTTTATTAAACCTGCGAGACCTCTGCAAAAAGTACATGGTGTTCTGTTTACAAGAAGATACTTTGTAAATTTCATTGCTACTTAATGGTGTTTACATGTTTACATGTAAATGGTTAAAAAATATTAAAAAGATGGTGCAAACACATGGATTTTATGATTTATACAAAGCATCTCCTCATACTTGATGTTTGAGAATATAMACAATGAGTTCTGTTTCACATAGTTTTATTGGTTGTTAGAGAGTTTATTGAATGCTACTGGCGTTCGAAGCAATCCTGGGCCATAAATCAGCACATTCCTTTGATACAGGTCCGTTGATACCAGAACCTGGAAAAATAGACAGAAGAA